GAACAGAGTGACATTAAATATCCTGCAGGATGAGTTGATGGCATGATTAGCATTATGTCTTAAAGAAAGGAACATAAAGGGTTGTCGGGAAGGTGCAAACCTGTAGCAAGTCTATACATAGCTGTTTAAATCAAGAAAGGAACTATGTGTCACAACTGTAAAGGTAGAAGTTTTGTGGCAGAAACGGGGGAGGAGTTAATCTTACAGTCCAGGAACAGAGGACTTTAGGACCATCAAGGGAAAACAGCATAAGCAGAATGTGGGACCCTATCCAGAGAAGCAGCAACACCAGAGATGGAGGCAGAGATGAGGACTTGGAGAGAGGGAGCAGCTGAGGACTCTAGAGTCATCGAAAGAGAGGGACTGAGTGCTGGCGGCTAGGAGGCAGACTTGCAGAATGTGCCCTTTGGTTGTTGAAATGATTATATATCCCTGTGTGGTTGGTTTTATTTTTTTGGTACATCAAAGAAAGAAAAAAAAGGGGGAGGGGGTTTGATAAAAGAAACAATCTGTGATGTTTTTTTGGGGAGGAAATGATACATGCGCTAGAGGGTAGACACGCATTGACATGGGAAAGGGCAGGCAGTGTACAACTGCGGGGGAGCTTGGCAGAGGAAAGATGGGGTGGCAGAGGACACTGGGAGGAATGCAGGGGTTCAGGTGAACAGAAGTGAATGCTATTAACTGTTGGTGCGTGGAGGGGATTGCAACCATGTGATGAATGCAAGTATAGGATTTGTTGAATGTATATGTAAACCTTCACTTAATTCACAAAAAAAAGTTTAAATTTAAAAAAAAAAAAAGGGGTGGGGGAAGTCTGACCAGGGCTTGGGTTAGTGTCCTTCCACCCTGGGTGGATACAGAGACTGTGGAGGGAGACTGCCCAGATCCCTCACTGTCTGTTGCTTTATGCCAACTATGAAAAGAAAGGCTCTACTAGCTGATGTGAAGTCAATTATGTCTCCCCAAAATATGTACTGCAGTCCTGGCCCTGTACCTGAGAATGCAATCCAACTTACAAATCGTTTCCTTTCTTATGTTACTGTGGGCAGACCAGAGCAGGGTGGGTCCTAGGTCTAATCACTTCTGAATTATAAAAAGAACAGACATCAAGGAACTTAACAGGACTACCAATAAGGACTTCCCCGAAGCGTCATGCCTTGAATTTTAGTCTTCTAGCCTCCAGAACTATAAGAAAATAAAGTTTTGTTCTTAAAGTCCCCACATGTGCCACTTTAAGAATAAAACAAAGTCACTGCATTGAGGGACTCTGACTCACGGAGCCCCATGTGCCACAGACAGAACTGTGCTCCACAGGGTTTTCTCGGCTGTAATCTCTACTGGTGTCCTGGTGTGGCACTGCAGGATACTAAGCTGGACTGAAAGGTCAGGTTGAACTGCAGGGTCAGTGGTTCTAACCCATTAGCTGCTTCTCAGAAGTCCTACAGAGGGTTATAAAGGTTGGAACCGACTCAACGGCACTCAATAACAACAACAACAACGATCTTTAATGGGCGCAAGTCATCAGGCTTTTCTTCCAAGCCATCGCCCTTCAGGTTAGGGGTCAAGCACAGAGCATTTGTGCCACCCAGAGACCTTGTGTTACAATAGTAATGTCAACTCAGACACTGGTATCAACAACACCACCAAAAGAAGCAAAGTGTGAATGATTCTGGGAGAGGTGTTCCAAATATTGAGAGGCATCAGGTGCTTTCTGAGAGTAGGGCAAGCTGAGAAAATGGCACACACCGAGAGTATTTCAGAACATGCCAAATACTGACAATATTTCCGAAGCAGATTTGGAATGTTGACAGTTATTTAGAGATTAAAGAAAGTCATTGCTGTTTAGAATGGACAGTCCACTCCTGTGAAGGAATGAACAATAAGACTGGCTAAGAGAGGATTAAAATAGGACAAGAGGATATTTTCACCTTCTGTCTTTTTGGCTACCCAGGAGTTGATGTGTTCTCTGGACTCCTCTGTGGCATTTACAAAGTCGAGCTCTTCCATCTCTGCTTGGTAGTATTTGCAGCAGGAATCTTTGAAAGACTGGGACAAAGAGAACAACATCACTACACACCTACAAACCTAATCAACAGTGAGAGTTTGCTTTTTCACTGGAACATATCAGAGCAGTACTCATCTTATGATCTGCATGTGCAATCTAGAGTCCTGGTATGACACTGTAGGATAAGGGCTTGACTATAAGGTCAGGATGAACCATAAGGTCGGTGGTTTAAACTCAGCAGATGCTCCTTGGATACCCTATTCTGGGTGGCTGTAAGTCGGAACTGACTTGATGGCACTTGTCAACAACAGTGTATAATTTACAAACAGATATGAGGAATGAACCTAAGGTTAAAAATTCCTTGTTTTCAGTGGTATTTAATCTTCGTCTATAACCAAGTGAAGGAGTGGCTTGGATCTCATGTGGCCGTCATGAACTGCTGCCCCTTTGAGGCAGGAGCAGTGCATGCTGGGAGAGTAAAGACATTGAGATTCTGAGCTAGAATCAGTCACTCTCGGATAAACTTTGACAGACTTTCAGGTTAAGACTTTCAGGTTCCATAAACATGAGGGGGCTTCAGAAGGTGCATGGGAAGATTCCATTATCTTTCAATTCTATCTTTCCAAGAATTTTCAAGCCCTCACATAGGGAAAACATGCCACTCTAGAACAGCAACTGTACCCGAATTTTCTGTGGTGATGATGTTCTAAATCTGCGCTGTTCGATGAAGAGCCACACATGGCTACGGAGCACTGGTTTCTGTTGAAGGGGCCGTCATTTTGATGCCTGCGTAGCACAAGACTGCCGCCTTCTCACCCACTAACCCAGCAGCACCCGCATGGCCACAATGACCGCCAGGCAGCCTAGCAGCTGGCCCCAGGCCCCAGTCATCAAGAATCAAGAACTGTCCCCCACACCACTGTTAGCAGCTGCCTGGGAAAAAGCAGCTGTTGTTGGTAAGGGCCATCGAGTCAGTTATGACTCATAGAGACCCTGTAGAGGGTTTCCCAGGAGCGCTGATGGATTTGAACTGTTGATCCTACAGTGCCACACCAGGAAAAAGTAGTAAGTTTTTTTTTTTTTTTTTTTTTTAATGAAAAAAATCATGAAACCATTGTCAAATAAATAGTCAGTGAGATCAGCTGAAAATACACAAACAATAAAATCCATATCTGAAAAAACTATTAAAACATCTAAATGTGTACAGATTAGAAGAAGGTATGCAATGCACACACACACAAAAAAAATAAAATAAAATAAAAAAATAAAACCCCACACCAGTGGCTAGACATATCCGTCTGGGCTGCTTCTTTACTTTGGACAGTATACCTCACACTGGGTTCTAGGTCAGTTATATGACAAATGTTGGGCTGTTAAGGGCCACTGCATCAATTCTGACTCATAGCGACCTGTATACTCTCTCATTTAATCGTCACGAAAAGCTGTGCAGCATGTAAGACCCACTCAACCGATGAAGAAACAGACACCAAGCGGAAGAGGCTGCATGGACACAGACCATCTGTAGGGCATCAAACACTCTAAGACCCCTTGTTCCCCACCACCTTAGTGAAAGACAACAAGTAGGACTTACTGAGAGGAAATCACGCGTCTTTTCTCCAAAGAGCCTGTTAGCCGTTCTGAGCAAGTACTGAGCGTCAGGTTGGTTAACTTCGGTAAGAAGTGACTGGAAACCTTGGTGAACATCTCCCCCTTCACCTGGGCTTTTGTTGAAACACAGTGTCTGAAATCAAACACAACAACAACACACCTCTTCACTATCCCCTGACTTCAAGAATCGGACTCAGCATTTAACTCAGCATTTAGCAATTTACAGCTCCTCCCCATGTTGTCCACTTAGTTTGGCTCAGGACTGAGTAGGACTGTCTCAGGGTTTCCAAGGCTCTCCTCTTTACGCAGGAAGACGCGGTGTGGTGCTGTGGAATAACATGCTAGACCGCAAAGATGGCTTGAACCACAAAGTCGGTGGTTCAAATTCACCACCGCTCCTAGGAAACCCTATACAGAGTTGCTATGAGTCGGAACCAACTCAATGGCACTCAACAACAACAATCTTTACACAAGCAGACTGCAGAGTGGCTGGTGGGTTTGAACCACAGGCTTTTCGATGGGCAGTCCAGCACTTTCACCATTGCACCACCAGGGCGGCTCCTTTACAGCTGAAAAGATGAATTCCATTAATGATGGTCTCTCCAAAGCCAAACTGTTTCTGTCTTAAAGCTCTTCCTGTAGGCAACCTCCCAATATGGGTATAAGTAGAAATGCCCTTTCTCAAACCGTAGCAGAATGGCTCAGGTTAGCTATCCTCAAGGCTTGTATAATTTGTCAGAGACCCTCTCAGCTAGACAAAGGGGTAAGTACCCTACGTCCCAAAACAACACACACCGAATACAAGGAATCCAGCCTCAGATGTGTGGATGCGGCTTTATGTCTAATGACATGGACTGTATGTTGATCTACTGTTAAGACCACAAAGGATTTAAAGGCGATGTAACAACTTGGACTAAGAGGGAAATCGATTAATCAAAACCAGAGGTGTCTGCTGGCTCCGCCACCCCACTCCATCCTATGGGCAGGAAGCAGACTGAGAGGGTCCCTCAGCCACTGACAATCCATTTCTGACAGGAAAGGAGAACTCAGCCAGGAACACAAGGGTAAAGTCAAGAGCCAAGGCAGACACAGTCTAAGGCTGACTCTTAAGATGCTTGTGGAGACACCATAAGAACCTTGCTGCCCAAAGAGAAGGGAACTGGCATCATGGTCAGCTCAGTGACCGCCATGTGCCCCCACTCTCCGCCATCTTTTTTGAATGAGTCGTCTTACCAGTACATATGAGGAGGTTTCAGAAACCACATGGGAAAGCTCCACTATCTTTGAATGTCATTTCTCCATGAACTTTCTGAAGCCCCTTCATACTGAGAGTGTATGGGGTTGAGGTAGGGGGCAGATAATTAGACATTCGAAATCACAAATCTCAGTGCTCAGGAAGCATAGCCAAGAAGTTGCACCTGAAGAGCCACCATCATACAATTTTTCAAGTTGTTATCACCTAGTTTTTTAAGAGATTCAGGCCTGAACCTCAGGCCTGAGTCTGGTGCCAAAATGGGATGAGACTTGAATCCTGTGATTATACGTCTACTCACAAACTCATGGAAATGCTAATATGATGCGTGATGAAACCATCTACTCTTCTGAGGAAAGTGCCCAACGCACTGCCCCGTAACAAGCGGGAAAGGGCATTCACCACAGGACGGTAATACACCCGCTCTTCCCTGTCAACTTTCCTCCATATTCCTGAAACACGAGCTAAGGGGGTTGGTGACAACGATTCTATTAGGATCAACAAATCAGACCAATTATTGTTGCCCTAAAGAGGTTTCGGTACCTGGGACATCTGGGTGGCGGTGTTCCCTTTGGCCCCCATGAAGACCATGGCCAAGGTAGACGAGATGCTTAGGGGTGAGAAAAACACATTTTTTGAGTTGTTTTCACACAGTTTTTTCAAGAGGTTCAAGGCAAAGGTGCTGTTTGCTTCCGATAGTGTGTCCATGTTGGCAGATCTAAAACAATGGATTTAAAAACAATATGGCGTCAATGCAGGCTTCCAGATCTCTACAGTTCACTGTTCTGGTAAACACTGTAGTTCAATGAGCAAATAGGTAAACACGCATTGCTTTTTGGGGCTTTCAAGATTATCTGGTGTGCCTCCGATGGAAAAAACTGAGTAGCAATTTTTATAACAGTATTCCATTCTTGTGAAAAAAAAAAAATTACAGAAAAAAAAAAGAGAAAGAACAAAGCAGGGAGACTTTTATGAGGGAACTTGAAAAAGTTCATAGGAAAATTCCTTTTATTCTGTTTTTTCACAAATTTTTTTGAATTCCCCTCATATCTGAATACTTGTTTACGAACACAAAGACAGTGTGAGGGACACACACAGCTGTGCTCTTCAGTTACTTCTTAGAAGTAGAATGAGAAAAGGTCATCAACTTGTGTCCACATGTCTGTATTGTCAAGTTGGTTGTGGCTTACCTGTATTCTTTTTATAACCTGAAAATAGTATGATAACTTCAATCACAAAATGATGCAAAAAGAGATGGTTGGATGTTTTTGTACTGTTGGAGAGAGGAGCCCATTCTAAGGAATCTTAGAATGTTGTAGTTGAGTGCTCTAGAATCAGTTCCGACCGACAACAACCCTATATAGTAGTTCAAGGAATGGCTGGTGGGTTTGAACCACTGACCTTGTGGTTAGCAATCCAGTACTTTCTCTACAGAGTCCTGGTGTGGCACTGTGGGTTAATGTACTGGACTGTAAGGTCAGTTTGAATTGCACGGTTGGTGGTTCAAGCTCACCAGCAGCTCCTTGGAAACCCTATACAGGGTGGCTATGAGTCAGAACTGACTCGACAGCACACAAGAACACTGATCCTACAGCACAACACTAGGACTCCGTTCTAAGGAGCTAGGACCTCATTCTGAAGTCTTACAAGATGATAAACTCTACCACACACCAAGATGCAGGAAAGTCTTAAAAGTAAGAGAGCCTCTGACACTCAGTTCTGCTTCTTGGAAATCTACTCCTGTGTCAAAACCCAATGTCACAGAGGGAGCCTAGATCCAGAGGGCTTGGAGGAAGGTAGACACCCCAATCAGTCGTATCCAGTCTCTCTAGGCGGGCCGATGAAAGGAAATGCGGATAGGTCTCTTGTGATATAATAGTGAGTAATTGTTATCAGGACTGATTGTGAGGGCTGGAAATGTAAAGGTAGACGTTTTGTGCAAGGAGGGAAGTGATTAAATTTTCAGCCTAGGAGTGGAGGTCCATGGGACCATCAAGGGAGAAGAGCAGAGAGCAAGACCCTACCCAGAGAAGCAGTGATGCCTGAGATAGAGGCAGAGAAGATGATGTAGTGAGATGGAGCAGCTGGGGACTTTAGGCCCAGAGAGGAAAAGGGACTGTGTGCTGACAACCAGAGGGCAGGCTTGTAGGGTGTATCCTTTGATTAGTTGATGCTGCATGGGGGGGATTTTAACCATGACAATGAAACAATATACAATAGGAGAAA